TTTGAGAGCCACAAGGAGGGCCTCTCCAATCTGTCTTCCGGGGCGCGAGTCAAGGTGCCCGACCCCGCCCCCCCCCCCCCCCCCCCCCCCCCGCAAAAGCACCCCGGTGCCGCTGTCTCCCCGCGGCGGCTCCCTCTGGGCGCTTTTTTTTTTTGCCGCCCCTCCCTCTCTTTCCCTCTCCTCCCCTGACATCATCTGACCACCGGCGGTTGTTGCCCCGTCTCCTGGCCTTTTCCTGTCCCCTCCCCCCCCCCCTCCCCCCAGCCCTACTTTGGTGACCTCAGCTGGGTCCATGCGTTCGCCGCTGAGATGTCCGGTCTGGAGCTGAATCTCGACGATGACAATGACCCGACCAACCCGTCCTCGAGCGCGCGCATCCGCGAGCGCACCGAGAGTGTGCGGGACCACCTGCTGGAGTTCATCGATCCCTACGTCCAGACACGTGCGTCCACTCCTGCATGCATGCGCTCCGCGCACAATCCCCGCCCCCTCGCCGGCCCAGGCACACGCTAACACATGCGCGAAAACACACGCACACGCACACACACACACACACACACACACACACACACACACACACACACAACGCCAATGGCGCCAACAACCTCTGATGCGGTCTTGGGCCTTCTTGCTGGCCCTCCCCTCCCCAGGCGATGCGGAGTCCTTCCGCAAGCATGTCACCCAGGAGATGGAGGCCCTGCGCATGAGTCCCAACGGGCCACTCCTCCTGCGCAGCCTGGGCAAGGTGTACCTCGAGGCCGGTAACCAGATGGCCGTCCTTCGGCGTCGGTTCGGCATCCTCCGGTTCCTGGGCCAGGGCTTGAAGCGCATGTCCATTGGCGTCGGTGAAACCATCCGCTTTGCCACCCTCCAGTCCTCCGTCTACAAGACTATGACCGAGCTGGAGCAGGCCACCAAGGCCGACCTTCCGGACAAGGAACTCATTGATCTGCTGTCGAAGCGTTCGGCCGAGCGTGGTGCGTCTCAATCACACACACGCACACACGCACACACGCACACACGCACACACGCACACACACGCACACACATCCCGCGGGGCTGGGAGTGCCCCTCTCCTTCGCCATTTGTTTGTGTGTTTGTGTGTGTGTGTGCGCGCGCGCGCGCGGGAGGGTCTGTGTGCATGTCACATTCATGATCCCGCCCTTTCAGCGCATGAGCTTCATTAGCTGACCTCCCCTCTTTATGCCCGACATCGGCCTCTTCTTTTTTTTTTTCCCGTGCCGGTGCTCCTGCTCGCACGTGGTGGACGACCCAGGCTATGCCCTGCTCACTGCGCTTACGGCTCGTGAAATCCGGGTGATCGTGGCCGAGTCGCTCGAGGACATTTTCGCCGTCCCCGATGTGGACCTCAAGGATCCGGACGCCTGGAAGGACAAGGACCCGATGGAGGAAATCCACCATCGCGTGGACGCCATCCTCATCATGGGCGAGATCTTCTCCTCGGCCAAGCCGGTCCCCGGCCAATCGGAGTATGACAACCCCTTCGCCTTCACCGAGGACGACGACGAGTAAGGCCGCGTGAAGCCGCGCGCGCGCATTCCCCACCACGGGGGGCATGGCTGGCCACATCCTGTCCCCGCCCCCCCCCCCCTCCCTCCCCCACCTTCACAAACACATGCGTCCTTGCGGGCGGGCACGCACCGCCTCGTGCAGCGCATGCCGCCTTGCCACACACCGGGAGAAGCACGCCGTCCTCCAGGGGAGCACGCGAAAGAGAGAGAGAGAGAGAGAGAGAGAGAGAGAGAGAG